ACGACGCTGTCCCAGGTACCACCTGGGAAAGGCAGGTAGAGGTTTCTTGTGTGCCTATTTTGCAGAAGAGCAAATTGGGGCCAGTGGTAAAGGGATGCCTCCAGGGCCATGAAGCGAGTAGGAATTTAGAGCCAGGAGGTCTGGTCTGACCCGTCTCCATGGCCTCGGTGGTGCAGCCATGCTATGGCTGAGCCCACACTTGAACCTGGCAAGCTTGGTCTGATTCTGAAGCTTTAAGGAATCATTTAGATGTCGGGTCCGTCTGAGTAAACACAGCTCACCCCTCCTCCTACACCCTTTCCTCATTGGCACCCGACAGAGCAGAAGGCTATAGCATCAGGTGTTCCAACCAACGGGGTCCCAGACAATGGAGGGAGGTCACAGGCTGGAGTGGTCGCATGTGCCGTCTCCCCTGAAAATCTAACGTCTGTGAGGCTGCTCAGACCAGGAGATGCGCCCCCATCCCTGACCTTTCCTCCCCAAAGGGGTGATTCTCCAGCACCCATGAGAGGTGGCTCTGCCGTCCCCAGAACAGGCTGGGCCAGGACAGGGCACATGGCAGGATGGCAGGATGCAGGCCACTCCAGAGCCAACACGATCCCTGCCTAGAACCCAGCCTCCAATGGTTTGCCCATTGGGAGACACGGCCCCAGGACCGTCCTCAGGGCAAGGGGAGTGCCTGGCTCACTGGGGGGCGTTTCTTGCTATGAACTTCCCTCCTGCTTCTCAAAACCTGTCACAACAGAGCAAATGCATGCCTGGAGTGAGAATGTGTCGATGGGATTTTATTTCCACGTGTTCTGTGTCAGGGTGGCAAACAGGTTCTGCTCACCGGGACTCCTCTGACGGACCCTCAGCTGCAGCTCCAGCTCCCTGCTGGAAAGGCAGCTGAAGGCCGTACTGGGATCGATTAGTGATGTCTGCCCTGGGCACTGGAGGGGTGGCTCTTGTTTGTTTCGCGCTGTTGAATTTATACTAGGCAAACAGAAATCCACAAGACCCCCTCCTGTGAGATGCAGGCTCATGCCTCATTCCCCAATTTACCACACCAGACCTTAGGTCCAGAAAGGTGCAAAGGCTTTTTAGGAGGGAGACACAAGCAAAGTGCAAGAAAGTATGAAACGAAGGGGCCACACAGCCTGGGCGGCATCATGGCGGCTTGTGACCCGGGCCTCGGAGGACAGGAGCACTTTCACAGGGGAAGCTGACAGGCGCTTTGTTCCAGATGGAGGGATCGGCTGTGCTGTTCACAGACACGGAGGTGGGAAAGGGAGACAGGCGGCCCAGCCTGGCTGCAATGTAGGGGATGGGAGAGCGAGGTGGGGGCAGATAGCAGGGACTGCTGGATCATCCTGTGCCTGAAGGAGGAACATACAGGGTCAGTCTTTAGGGTGATGATGCCAGCTGATACTGTATCCGAAACTGAAAACATTTTCCTCTCTCTGTTTCACCAGCATCTTCTGCCATATATTGTCATATAGCCCTCTTCCTCTCACTCACTCTCTCTTCATAAATGACATTTTTCATTTGTGTAAGCGAGGGGCAGGAATAGTCTGAGAGATTAGACATCAGCTTCAGGCCAGGTCCCAGCCTGTGTCTCCCTAGCTGTGTGACCCTGGGTGGGTGACCCCTACCCCTGCCCGTGCTTCCTGACCTCCCTCAGCTGTCCTGAGGCTGGGAAAGCTCGTGCACGTAACGCTCCCAGCTGGATGCGGGCGCCGGGGTGCGCTCAACCAAAGCCGCAGCGACTTCTTCCTGGCTGCATGGCTAATACTTTCTGCCGCCGCTGGAATTATCTACAGCGCACACAGAGAGGAGTATACGTCAGCTTGGGCCTTAGCATGACACAGGATTAATTGCTCATTTAAAGCCTGAAAGCAAATGGGTTTTTGAAAACTCCTTAAGCATCAGGGAAGTCGGTCTCTTCCTGATTATCTGCTTGTATTTATGGATCTTTTGCCAAATATAAGGATGCTCCTGTCACTTTGCAAATCTGGAGATGGGTCTCTTTTCTATAAATATCAAAATTCAACAATTATTTCACTATTTAATCCCCATCTGAATTTTAACCAATTGCATCTCCCTTTGTATTATTATCCTCTGATGTAATCAGCCCGGAGACGTAGAGGCTGCGTCTGGACATTGCAGGAAGAGAATGGGCAGGGAGGGAGGGACGGAGGGAGGGAGGGACGGAGGACGAGTGGTTGAGGCAAGCCTTCACTTTAAACGCAGAAAGGAAAACTGAATAAACGTGGCTTTGCCCTCAAGTATCTCATACACAGAAAAATGTCATGATCAAAAGTGGGCTGCATGTCAGTGGAAAACATTTAGCTAGCTGGACTTTAGTTGCGCCTTAAAGGTGAGATGGGATTCAAATATACTGCAGGAGAAGGTGCCATCCCAGGTAAGGGGAATAGCCTGGACTGTGTTGGGATTGAGTGAGTCAAAATATTGTAGAGCTGGAAAGGATCTTTGTATGTTAATTGAATTCGTACAACCACTTTACTAGAAAAGTAGGACTTGGTCCGTGTATGTACAGCCAGTTTCATGTTAAAGCCCTGGACGAACAGAGCTCAAACTGGCCCCGTGACATTCCCTGCTCCCGTGCCATCCTTCTCTCTTCCTTACCCACACTCTTCTTAAATTCTCCAAATGCATCTGAAAGGAAAGCATAATTAATCAAAGATAAAACTAATCCTCTGGTGGAAGAAAGGCTTGAGATTTCCTTTTATCTGTCGTAACAGCAGAAAACAGTCTTTTGAAAGCGTTACTGGCGAGCCGTGTTTTGCCGAAGAAGTATATGAAATGGAAATTTACTCTGGCTTTTGTTTATCCTCCGTGAGTAAGATGATCCGACAACAAAATAACATGCAGGCTTCTCTCTTGGGAACAGTGGGGGGGAAATAGAAACAGCAGTTTCATATACTGTCAGACGTTTGGAGAGCTGCCTCCTATGATTTTAATGTTGTCTGAATGTACATCCTCCACCTCATTGCGCACTTAAGTAGGTTTTGACTCCTCCTTCAGCCCTGCACTTCCCCAGCACAAGCGGAAGCCCCTACTACACCTTCAAAAAGTTATTTTGCTTTGACAGAGAGAAAATCCCATTCCTCCTGTGAGTGCATGCGTTGGATGGTTCTTTCCAGCTTTCTAGGACATGGTCTCCTGAGGTATTCAAAAAGCAAACAAATGAACCAAATGATCAGATCCTGGCAGAAGTTAAAGTGCATGGTAAATTCTGGAAATTGGCTCAAATTCTTAGGTACATCTTTCTACTGAGGCACACGTGTCAGAGAGAGAGAGTGTGCATGTGTGTTTAATATACAAATAGAAAACAGACCAGCTCCGCCTCAGAGCAGCTGAGCAGGGACACAGCCCTGCCCGCAACGGTGCCCTGGGCTGGGGTCCCAGCTCGGCCACTTCCCAGCCCTGCAATCTTGAGCAGGGTCTTCAGCTCGGGTTCCGGGCCTCAGTTTCCCCGTCTGTCATTGCGGGAGGATGATTCTCCAGTTACACGGGCTCCCCCGCCCAGCTCCCAGCTCTCCTGCCCATTCCGAGGGGATGGGCCATGTCCAGCCCCTACTCCTCTCCCATGGGACCAGCCCCGAGATGCTCAGGGCCTCGCTGACCGACTCCTGGCAGGGAAAGGGATACTCGAGACCTGTGGGTGCAGGCGTCCCCAGACCTCCGTCCGTCAGCTTCGTGTGACCACTGGGAGGCTGCCCAGGGAGCCGTGGACTCTCCAATTTGTCGACTACAAGAAGACCTGGCAGGTGTGGCTGGAACGTGATGGGCAGAAACACCAAATTCTTCTTTGGAAGAGGTCCTTGACTTCGAGCCCAGAGAGGGACAGCAACTTGCCTGAGAGCACACAGCACACTGTTGAGCAGATGGGACCCAGGACGGTGTGTGAGCCGGGGGGGCTGCACCCTCAGCGCTGACCCTGCTCCAGGGGTCCACGCTCCTGCTTAGGTTTCTTCTGCGCTGTCCTCCCAGCATACGCAGCCCCTGGGTCAACCCTGCAGGACAGGAATCAAAGGAGGAAGGAGGGAGAGAGGCCACAAGAAGGATGTGCCTTAGACGCTTCTTGCTGACTTCACCACACAGACTCACGCTCACCTGCCCGACGGGGCCGAGGCTCCTCTGTGAGAGCGACCACGCCCTGCTCTCTGCCCAAACCTCACCGACAGGTCGTCCTGCTGGTCAGTTCCAGCTCAGAGCCCTTGGAACCAGCAGGAAGAACATCAAAACACTTCCCAAGCCCTCTGAGGTGTTGGCCAGCTTCCTAAACGCACTGCAGGCATCTCACCCGACCCGGTTCAATAGCACGGTTTTGGGTTTTCTTTCGTTGCCTTAATCAAGTCTTTCCAAAGCATTCACCTCGTTTTCACAGAAACAATGGCTCTTGCCTTGCACGTGGGAATTGCACAGGTGAATTGGTCCTTGTAACCATGGCGTCCGCCTGGGGGTAAACAGGTGTGGGAACAAATGCAGGTGGGAGCGGGTGTGGGTGACTGGCGCCTCCTAGTTGAGGGTGGCTGGGGGGGGTCCGCGTGCCAGGCGGGGCGAGGGGCGAGGGGCTCCGCTCATCTCCGTCCCTCGTCCTCCCAGGCCGGCGCGACTCCTCGGGCATCCGCCTGTACTACACAGCCACGCTGCGGCGCTTTGATGCGGGCATCATGGAGCTGGGCCTGGTGTACACGCCTGTGATGGCCATCCCCCCGCAGGAGACGGGCTTCGTCCTCACCGGCTACTGCACGGACAAGTGCACCCAGCTGGTGAGTGGGCCGGACATGGGGCTGGGCCTGGCACCGCCCTGCTTCCCCTGCTGAGGCCCCGAGGGTGGGGGCCGAGGTCGGTGGCTTGTGGCTTTGCTTTCCCCGCCCTGCAGCTCCACCAGCGCCACCCCCCCACCCACCACCTCCTCTGGATGCCGAGGAGCCTCCCACCGGCCGGCGGGCGTCTGTACCTTCCTCTCCAGCAATAACTGGCTCCCATTTAGTCCAAACCTGAGCCAGTGTTTAAAATACATGTTCATCCTATGCATGAGATAGACAACGCATTCACCATGAGAAATGCAGGCAGTGCAGCTAACACCCCTTGGTCCCAGCAGCCTCTCCCCCTCCCCGAGGTAGCCAGTTGCTGGATCTCTTGTGCCCCTCTGGACTTTTTCCCTACCTGTTTCTACAAACCCTTACATGCGGCGTGTTTAAAAACAAACTGAATAGTGAACGTTTGTCCGTGACGCCCTTTAACCGACGCACAGCACGGATTCAGTGGGAACTTCACTGGCGCCGGACCAGGTGAGGCCGGCGAAGTGCCTGGGGCGCAGGACACAAGGGAGCACTGATCCCCAGGGCCGCCGTGCGAGGGCAGGTGTGGCACAGGTAACGCTTAGACTCGGGGGCAGATGGAGGGACCGAGCTTCGGGAGGAGCGGAAGTGACTCCCCAAATTCTGGGCCCTCAGTTCTCCCCGGCCTCCCCCAGGCCCGGCCTGTGCTGGACTGTCCCCTCGTCACCAGTATCCAGGCTGCTGTCAACTTTCCACTGACTGGTAGAAGCCCTCAGGGAAATTCTGTGCCCACGGGAAATGTGTATCAGGTGTATTCTAGGGTGGAATTGCCACGCACAGGAATGTGAGCTTTAATTTGAATAAATCTGGCAAAACGCCCCCCAGAAAAGCCCATTCTGGGCCCTCTTCCCCCCACAGTACCAGAGGGTGCCTGGTGCCCCAGACTTACTGACCCACCGTATTATCAATGCTTAAAATATTTCCTCAATCACTTGGGAGAAAAACATCGCTGTTTTTCAATTTGAATTTCCCCCTTTGTAGAAGCTGAGGATGTTTGCACCTGTTTCTTGGGCGAATATCTGTTCATAACGTTGTCCCGTGTTTCTAGTGGGTTGCCTGTCTTACTATTGGTAGAAACCAATCGTAAAAGAAACCAAAAGTTCTTTTTATATGGTGGGTGTTAACAGCATGGTCTGTTGGGAATGCTGCAAACATTCTCTCCCGTGTGGTACCTTTGCTTCTCACGATGACCTGCAAGGTGAGTGTTAGCGTCCCCACTTCACAGATGGGGAGACTGAGGCTTGCCGGGGCCACAGTGCCTCCAGTTGCAGAGTGAGGAGTCAAACACGGGTCTCTCTGACTTCACACAGCAGCCTGCTTTGTGATGCGGTTTGTATGCGGGTTTGTCTTCCCAGTGAATTGATTCCCTGGGATTTGTTCTTTCCGGGAGCTCCCTGAGCCTCCAAGTCTCAGGCAAAGTGCCCTCGAACTGAAGGGACAGAGCTGTCAGACTGCACTGGCCTCATCTGCATCCATGGTGGGTCAGCTCTTATCTGAGACCAGGGGTGACAAATCGTAACCACACCAGCACCTGACACTTTCCCGTGTCCCCAGAACGTGGTGACACCTTGCCGTGTGAAAGTCTCTGTGGCCTGAGCCTGGAGCTGGGGCTGCAGACTCACCGGCAAAGAGGGGCCCCAGGCCAAGTGACTGACCTTTGCCAGGGGTACACGGGTCATGTTGACCTGCTGACCTTGAGAATGCCTCTCACCAGCCTGGGAATGCAGACCTGCCTTCTCTCACCAGAGTCTCTAAATACTTTACAGCACAAAATAAAAATAACTCAGTTTTCTTGTTCCCCTTTAAATGGTACATTCTTTGTGAAAATCGCATTTCTGTGGACTCTCACGGAAGGGCCTCCAGCAGAGTGGGGGGGTCTCATATCCGTTAGCAGAACTCCGAGGGGTGTAATTTCTGCAGTCGGAAGTCTGGCCTGTTCTAGGTATCCTCACTCAAGAGAAGCCAAGAAGAGTACAGTGTTTTGGACCACAGGCCCCAGAACAGCAATCCCCCTGCACCTGTCACACATCCACGACTCTGGGCCAGTGGTTGGCCTCTGGGGACCAGACGGGAGAAACCCAGGGCCCCATTGGTCAGCAGGTGCTCCCAGGCCTGGCCCCAATGGTCACAAATGTGGCCACAAGGTTTCCCAGTCCTCAAATCATTGCGAGGGGGCCAGAAGTGCAGCAGCCTGGGGCTGCTCAGTGACGGGGCGAGGGCACCAGGACCTCCCTGAGCAGCCGATGGGGTGGACAAACACGGCGGTGTGTGGTCAGGGAGATGACCACGTCGAGTAGAAAAAGCTTGACGTGTGTAATCCGTTTTAGGAAACATTCTGTCTAAATCAAGTGAATGTTAACGCAAGGGAAGCATCTGGAAAATTGCCGTCTGCCCTGGTGGTGATGTGACTGCTCTGGCCTGTTTCCTCCGTGCTGCCCGCCTGCAGCTTAGATGGTCAGCGCCACGGCTGTAGTACCAGGTGATGGTGACAGCAGGGAACAGCTGCCTGGCTGTCACGCGGATGAAGGGAGGTCGTGCCGAGGGCAGCTGGGGACCTGCCAGTGCTGGAGGCTGGCAGAGGCTGGACAGGACGGCCCGGCACTGCTGTCCCACGTCATCCGCCAAACGTGAAGACCCTAGAGTCTGTGGAATAGAGGCAGAATGAACCGACCAGCCTTCCGGGGCTCAAGAGAGGACCCAAAGGGGAGCCGTCGGCAGCCGGACAAGCCTCAGGCTTCTCTCCAGTTGCGGCGTGCGGGCTTAGCTGCCCCGCGGCACGTGGGATCTTAGTTCCCCGACCAGGGATCGAACCTGCGTCCCCTGCCTTGGAAGGCGGATTCTGAACCACTGGACCACCAGGGACGTCCCTCTACTGAGTTTTCTGATGGGGGGTTTCACCGATCCGGGAGAAGGAAGGGCCTGGGTGATGCAAACGGTCCAGGGAAGTAAACTCACATGGCCGTTCTGTGGCCCTGGGGGTGCAGACAACCACGTGGCCAGGCCCTGACGCCCCCACCCCCACCCCCGCAGGCTCTGCCTCCTTCCGGAATCCACATCTTCGCCTCTCAACTCCACACGCACCTGACGGGCAGGAAGGTGGTCACGGTGCTGGCCCGGGACGGCCGCGAGAAGGAGATTGTGAACAGAGACAACCACTACAGCCCTCACTTCCAGGTAGGGCCCGCCACCCCGCACCCCTTCCCCGCCCCGCCCCGCCCTGCTGGCCCGCGCAGGGCATGGCTGTGGGCTGTCCGATCCTCTCTCTCCCGACGGCTATAGAAACGTCCCCATTCCGGGGCTCCCTCTCCTGGGCCAGGCCCAGACACCCGAGGAGCACACACAGCCAGCCGGTTCCTCTTGCCGATTTCATCTGGGGGAGGGACTCCGGTGGGGGATCCTGGCGTGTGGCCGACTGCGGGATTCGGGGAACCCTGGAAGCACCACCTTCTTGTCCTAATCTGTTCCTGGCCAGAGGCCAAACTCAGCCAGTCCTGGCTTCCCACAGAGGAGTCGGGGGGCTGTGCCTGCAGTAATCTGAAGTCTCCCCCTCCCCCTGCTCTGCCCCTCCCCCCCCCCCCCCCCCCCCCCCCCCCCCCCCCCCCCCCCCCCCCCCCCCCCCCCCCCCCCCC